CCACTATTTCTCCCCTCAAGAATCTATTTATTCCCCGTTTTTCCCCCTTTTTTTTCTCTTCAAGCCGCCGTTTATCCCATATTTTTCCCCTTTTCTCCTCAAACCGCCCTTTTCCCGCCTCCCCCCCGCCCCCGCTCCCCTCAGGCCGCCATGGCGCTGGTCTCCGCCGACTCCCGCATCGCCGAGCTGCTGGGGGAGCTGCACCAGCTCATCAAACAGACGCAGGTAGCGAGGGGGAGGGAAAAAAAGGGGAAAAAAAGTAAAGAGGAGGGGAAAAAAGGCGATAAATCCCCCCCTCGGTGCGTGTTTTTGGGGTGTTTTGGGGGTGTTTCTCCCCCCTCCCTCAGCCCCCTTTGCCCTCAGGAGGAGCGATCCCGCAGCGAGCACAACCTGGTCAACATCCAGAAAACCCACGAGCGGATGCAGACGGAGAATAAAAGTGAGGAGAAAAAACCCTAAAAGGGTTTTTTTTTTGGGGGGGGGGGGGGGGGCGGAAGGGAGGGGCTGGTAGAGGAGGAGAGGGAAGGGAAGGTGGGTGTTTGGTTTTGTTGGGTTATGGTTTTTTCCTTCCCTGGAGAAGAGCTCAATCTTTGTTTTTTTTTTTTTTTGGGGGGGGGGGGGGGGGGGGGGACGGACGGGACACAGGGATTTTTTGGGGACCCCCTTTAACCCTTTCCCTGTGTCTTTAGTCTCCCCCTATTACCGGACCAAGCTGCGGGGGCTCTACACCACCGCCAAGGCCGACGCCGAGGCCGAGTGCAAGTAGGTTCCTCACCCCCCTTTTCTGCCCCAAAATGCATTTTTATGCCCCAAAGTGTCCCTTTTCTGCCCCCGAATGCCCCCCTTGTGGTCCAAAATGCACTTTTCTGCCCCAAAATGTCCCTTTCCTGGCCCAAAATGTCCCTTTTCTGCCCCCAAATGCCCCCCTTGTGGCCCAAAATGCACTTTTCTGCCTTAAAATGTCCCTTTTCTGCCCCAAATGCCCCCCTTGTGGCCCAAAATGCACTTTTCTGCCCCAAAGTGTCCCTTTTCTGGCCCAAAATGCCCCTTTTCTGCCTCAAAATGCCCCCATTGTGGCCCAAAATGCCCCTTTTCTGCCCCCAAATGCCCATTTTCTGCCCCAAAATGCCCCCTTTGTGGCCCAAAACGTCCCTTTTCTGCCCCAAAACATCCCTTTTCTGCCCCAAAGTGTCTCTTTTCTGCCCCAAAACGTCCCCCTTGTAATGGAAAATGCACTTTTCTGCCCCAAAATGTCCCTTTTCTGCCCCTAAATGCCCCCCTTGTGGCTCAAAATGCCCCTTTTCTGACCCCAAATGCCCCCGTTGTGGCCCAAAATGCACTTTTCTGGCCCCAAATGCCCCCCTTGTGACCCAAAATGCCCTCGTTGAGGCCTTAAAAGCCCTTTTTATAGCCAAAAATCGCCTTTTCTGCCCCAAAATGTCTCCTTTGTTGTCCAAAATGTCCCCTTTCTGCCCCCAAATGCCCCCCTTGTGGCCCCAAATGCACTTTTCTACCCCAAGGTGTCTCTTTTCTGCCCCAAAATGTCTCCCTTGTGGCCCAAAATACACTTTTCTGCCTCAAAATGTCCCTTTTCTACCCCAAGGTGTCTCTTTTCTGCCCCAAAATGTCTCCCTTGTGGCCCAAAATACACTTTTCTGCCTCAAAATGTCCCTTTTCTGCCCCAAAGTGTCCCTTTTCTGCCCCAAAATGCCCCCCCTGTGGTCCAAAATGCACTTTTCTGCCTCAAAATGTCCCTTTTCTGCCCCAAAATGCTCCCCCTGTGGTCCAAAATGCACTTTTCTGCCTCAAAATGTCCCTTTTCTGCCCCAAAATGCACTTTTCTGCCCCCAAATGCCCCCATTGTGGCCCCCAAAGCCCTTTTTGTAGCAAAAAATTGCCTTTTCTGCCCCAAAGTGTCCCTTTTCTGCCCCAAAGTGTCCCTGTTCTGCCCCAAAATGTCACTATTGCGACCCTAAAAGCCCTTTTTCTAGTCAAAAATCGCCTTTTCTGCCCCTAAAGTGTCTGTTTTCTGACCCTAAATGCTCCCCTTGGGGCCCAAAATGCACTTTTCTGGCCCCAAATGCCCCCCTTGTGACCCCAAATGCCCCCGGTGTGGCCTCAAAAGCCCTTTTTGTAGCCAAAAATCACCTTTTCTGCCCCAAAATGCCCCTGTTATGACCCAAAACGTCTCTTTTCCGCCCCAAAATGCCCTTTTTCTGCTCCAAATCCCCCTGTTGTGGCCCAAAATTGCCCTTTTTTTCACTCCAAAAAACCCATTGTGGCCCAAAATCGCCCCTTTTCACCCAAAAAAAACCCCACTGTGGCCCTAAATTGTCCCTTTTTCACCCAATAAACCCCTGTTGTTTGTCAAAATTGCCCTTTTTTCACCCAAAACCCCCCAGATTGTGGCCCAAAATCTCCCATTTTCTCGCCCAAAACATCCCTTTTTTTTGGCCCTAAATCCCCTCCTTTTGTCCCCGAAAACTCTTTTGAGCCAAAACCCGCCTTTTTGTGGCCTCGGGGGGGCTCATTTTTCCCTGAAAAAACTCATTTTTCCCCAAAATTCACTTTTTAATCACAAAAAAAGTCATTTATTTCTCTCCAAACCACCATTTTGTCTTGGGGAAAACACTCGTTTTAACCCCAAAACTCCCCGTTTTAACTCCAAAATTCTGCATTTTAACCCTTGAATTTTCCACTTTGACCCCAAAACTGCCTCTTTTAACCCCAAAACTCTGCTTTTATTTCAAAAAACCACCATTTTTAACCCGTTTTTGCCCTTTTTTGCAGCATTTTACGCAAGGCCCTGGATAAAATCGCCGAGATCAAGTCTCTCCTGGAGGAGCGCCGCATCGGTACCGGCCCCAATTCCAGGCTTTTTTACCCCAAAATGGAGCTGGGGAGACTCCCCCCGGAGGGGGGAGGGGTTTTTCCTGAAACTTGCTATTTTTGTTAGCGGCCAAAATCGCCGGAATTTACAGCGAAGCGGAGCCGCCGCGCAAGACCATGAGGCGGGGGGTGCTGATGACCCTGCTCCAGCAGTCGGCCATGACGCTGCCCCTCTGGATCGGCAAACCCGGCGAGAAGTGAGAGGCTTTTGGGGGAAAAAAGGGGGAATTCGGGGTTTTCTCCAAAATCGGGGGTTTTTACTTTCATTTGGGAGTGAAAATTGGATGAAATTGGGTTTTTTTGGGAGAGAAAATTGGGTTTCTTTGAGGGGAAACGGCTGCTCGAGGCCGCCATTTTGAGCCCCGGGGAGCACGAAGGGTTAGAAGGTGTGAGGGAAATAAAGGGCGTTTTGGGGTGAAAACAGGTGGATTTGGGGTTCTGTAAAAAATTGTGGGTTTCTACTTTCTTTTGGGAGCGAAAATTGGGTGAAATCGGGGTTTTTTTGGGAGAAAATTGGGTTTTTTTGAGGGGAAACGGCTGCTCGAGGCCGCCATTTTGAGCCCCGGGGAGCAGGAGGGGTAGGAGGTGTGAGGGAAAAAAATGGTGGTTTGGGGTAAAAATGGGTGGTTTTGGGGTTCCCTCAAAAACTGGGGGTTTCTGCTTTCTTTTGGGAGTGAAAATTGGGTGAAATAGGGTTTTTTTGGGAGGGAAAATTGGGTTTTTTTGAGGGGAAACGGCTGCTTGGGGCCACTATTTTGAGGCATGAGGGGATGGAAGGCATGAGGGAAATAAAGGGCGTTTTGGGGTGAAAATGGGTGGTTTTGGGGTTCTGTCAAAAATTGTGGGTTTCTATTTTCTTTTGGGAGTGAAAATTGTGTGAAATTTGGGTTTTTTGGGAGGAAATAGGGTTTTTTTGGGGGGGGATGGCTACTTGGGGCTGCCATTGTGTGACCTGGGGCGGCCATTTTGGGGCCCAGAGGAGCCATTTTGAGGCCCAAAGCGAGGATTTGGGGGCCCGAAGCGAGGATTTTGGGGCCCAAAAAGGGAATTTTGGGGTCCAAAGCGTGAATTTCGGGGTTCCCCCCTCAGACCCCCCCCTCTCTGTGGGGCGGTGCCGGCGGCCGGGGACTACGTGGCCCGTCCCGGGGACAAAGTGGCCGCTCGGGTGAAGGCGCTGGAGGGGGACGAGCAATGGATCCTGGCCGAGGTCGTCAGCTACAGCCACGCCGCCAACAAGTGAGCCCCCAAAATCCCCCCTTTTCACCCCAAAAATCCTCCCCGCCACCTCCCAAAACACCCCCAC